TTATTATTATGATATCTTCTGTTGCTGGAGGGTTTCTGTTGTTGCTTTTCTTCTAGTTGTTGGAAGCATTGTCTTAAGGTATTGATTTTTTATTTATCTTCTTTTTTCATGGCTTTGTTGACTGCTATAAGTTGCCCTCTGATAGCTACTTTTGCTGTGCCCAGGGGTTTGGGTACTAGTAATTTTTAAGTAGTATGCTCACTCTCCATTTTTTTTAAGTTCCTGTTCTTTATTGTTGGCTTCCAGTTTTATAGTGTTGTGATTTGAGAAAATTGACTTTAGGATCTCAATATTTTTAATTTGTTGAGGCTTGCTTTGTGGCCTACCGTGTGATGTGTTCTAGAACATGTACCATACGGGCTGAGGACGAATGTGTACTGTGTTGTTGTTGTGTGGCGTGATGTGTAGATGATTGAGCTGGTTGTGTTTAGCTCTTCTGGTTTTATATTGAGTTTCTTTCCTGATGATCTTTCTTTCCTTGAGAGTGGTGTGTTGGAAATCTTCAACTATTATTTTCTAGCTGTTTATATTTGTGTTCAACTCTGAGAATTTGATTGCTGTATCCAAAGGTCTTTCACTATGGGACTGTAGGTTATAAGTTCCTAGTGTATTGTTTCTTTAATTCTAATGTCATGTCCATTATTGTCTTAGATGATGTTATTCACTATGAAGTCTCTTTTATCAGAGATTAATATTGCCATTCCTGCTTATTTATAGTTATCATTGGATTGGTAGATATTTCTCAATCTTTTGATGTTTAGTCCATTTTTATCTTTGGTTTAAGCTATACCTCTTGTATACCCATACAAATGGGTCTTGCTTTCTAATCTACTCTGCCATTCTCTGTCTTTTGATTGGAGCATTGAATCATTGACATTCAGTGTCATAATTGACAAATGAGGGCGTGTTGTTGTCATTTTTCTTGTATTTGTGTTTGGTCTCCTCCTCCTCCGACATTTGTACTTTTAATGGTGTTTTTGTTCCTCCTCAATTTCTGTGTTGTTTTGAGTGTTGCTTTGATCATGTTGGTTTCTGGATGTTGTTATGTCTGATGCTCTCAGGTTGCTCTGCTGTGGTTGTTGATTGTTGTTGTTCTCCATAGTGATCCAGTTAATATTTTTTTGTACTGCTGGTGATTTAAATAATTCCTTTAGTTTTCACTAGTTTGGAAATACCTTTAATTTTCTCTCCTATTTGAGGGATGGTTTGTTTTATATATGATTTTTGGTTGGCAGCGTTTTTTTTTCTCTCAGAATTTTATATATGCCACTCCATTGCCTTCTTGTCTGCATAGTATCCGCTGAGAAGTTTGAGCTTATCCTTATCAGTTTTACTTTGTCTGTGATTGTTCGTTTTTCCCTAGATGTTCTCAGAATTCCCTACTTTTCCTTGAAATGTGAGAGTTTAACCATGCTATGTGATGATGTTTTTCTTTTGGGATCTATCCTATTTGGGGTTCTCTCTGCTTCTTAAATAGTTATTTTCTCCTGTTTTGTGATGTTGGGAAAATTTTCTTCCATGACTTCTCATAAAATTTTCTCTGTAGATATTTTTCTTTCTTCTTGTTTTTGGATATCGATGAGACATAGGTTGTTCCTCTTGAGAGTGCGCCACATCCTTGTCAGGCTTTCTTCTGAGTAGTACTTCACTTTCTCTCTCTCTCATTGATTGTAGCTAGAGTGCTTGCTTTTGAGCTTACTGGTTTGATTTTTATTTTATTCCATCTGTTCCTCGGGTCTTTTAAGACATTGCCTATTTCTGTTATCTATTGTTCATCTTCTGGGCTGCATTTGGGGTCAAGGATTTTAGGTTTTCCATTTCTTTCATTGCTCTCCTATTTGCTACCCACATCTCTGGAAAGGACCTATACATCGTTCTTCTGAATTCTGCTTCTGGTAGTTTTAGGGTATCTTCTTTAAAGTACTCCACTGGTTTTGGGCAATTTTCAGTTGCTTGTATTTGTGTTTCTTTATTATTATGTTTTTTGTGTGTGTGTTTACTGGTGTTGACTGTTGTTTTTATGGCATTGGTGTACAGCTCTATGTGGTGTATGAGCTGCCGGGTTGTGTAGTGGCAGTTGGCTTTGTTGAGTGATTTGGGAGAAGTATACTAGGAACTATATTTCTCACTCCCAGCCACTGACCTGTCACTGGACTAGACAATGTGGCAGCTTAGCCTTTGGCCCCACCTTCTCCAGCACCAAGAATAGATTTGTCAGAGATGTGTCTTAGCAGCTAGGGTGGTCGATCTTCCTTTAGAGTTGTGGCCATAATGGTGGCATTTGCTTATGGCAGAACCCTATGCTGTGCTATTCCTCTTGTAGTCCCACCAGCACTTGTGCTGAGGGTGGAGGAAAAAGTCTCACATTATCTTTTAATCCCATTTTCCCACAAACTTTTTGAAGCCCCCTCATATACTCTTACAGAATAATCTTCTTTTGCATTTAATGATTAATAGTCCTTGGCACTCTTATTATTATCTTACTCAAAGATTTTTAAGATCCAAGAAATAAGAATATTTGATTATCATCATAATCATCACCATTTTCCTACTTTGGCTTCCAAATTGAGTTGAATCTAACACTGATGACTGAAGGTAGGATGTTTATTCTTATCAGCATTTACATTAAAGTCAAAGCCAAGAAATCAAATTCATTGCCATCTAGTCAATGCCAACTCATAGCAACCCTATAGGCCAGAGTAGACCTGCCCCTTTGGGTGTCTGAGACTAAATCTTCAAGAGAGCACACAGCCTAATCTTTCTTTCTTGGAGTTACTCATAGGTTAGAACCCCTGATGTTGGGTTTATCAGCTAAATGTGTGCCACTATATGCCACAAGAGCTCCTTTATATCATTATAGTCTGTGGCACTCCTGAAGCTTTCTAATCTTGTTGAGTTATAGTCCTTGAAACTCACAGAGGCAATTCTACCCTGCTTTACAAGTTTGCTACGCATTGGAATTGGCTTAATGGCAATGAGTTTGGTTTGTTTTTTAATAGCCCTTGGATAGAGTGAGCTCAATACATTGGGCCTGGCACTAGGCTTGAGAAAACTTGATTTTGTAGATAAGAAAATGACTATCTAGAGAAAGGTCATTTAATCCTGCAACGATAAAAATAAATTCTTCCAAAGTACTGTGTTCTGCTGCCCCGGTCCTAGAGCTTGTGCCTTGGCAGAGTCCTATGGGCAAGATAATGGCACATTGAATTCAGCAACTAGATTGTGCTTGTGTATGCAGCTGTGCTCCAAGCCCAGACCCCTCTTATGCACCTTTTATTCATGTCATGGAGGAGGGGATGCAAGAACCTTCGATTCAGGTCTTACTCTCCGCCCATAGAAAGCGCCTTAAACTCTTGGGAATCGAGGAGCAACAAAAACAAGGAATAATGTATAATTTGTGATCCATCACTGGATCTGTTTATTCTGTTTATTAAACACCTATGTCACATCTACATCGTCTTTCTGTCAAGATGTCATACTGTGTGGTTTTCATGTTGCTGTGATGCTGGAAGGTGATATTTAAATATCAGCATGATCACCCATTATAACAAGTTTCAGGGGGGACTTCCAGACTGAAACAGATGAGCAAAAATGGCCTGGTGCACTCCTTCAAAAGTCAGCCAATGAAAAATTGTTTGATATAGTGTTGGAAGATGAGCTCCTTAGATTGGAAGGAAATAAAAATAAAGACCATGGTTCTTGAAATGGGACTGAGCACGCCAACAATTGTGAAATGGCACAGACCTGAAAGATGCGTTATTCTGTGGCATATGGGGTCTGAATAAGTTGTCGCTAACTCAGTGGCAATTAGCAACAGCACTTGAATTGTTTTACAGATATTAATGTATCCCTCTGAAAATGCTTATTCTCATTTTTAGATGAGGAAACAGAGACACAGAGAGGTTAAATAGCTTGGCCAATATCATATAACAGGTATGTTGCAGGGCTGGAACATGAATCTGGGCAGTCTGAATTCAGACTCCATGCTGAAAAAATGTGTGAAGCATCTCTCCCGGGATGTGCCCTGGGTTTGGCAGTGACAATCGGCATCCAAAGCAGCATGGCTCTTTCCTTCTAGAAGCTTGTGCTTTGAGAGAATTTTTGCCCTGTGATTACATTGTATCTTTGAGACTTCATTAGTCTTTAAAGTTAGACTGACCTCACTGAGCTACAAGGATTTAAAAGGATGCTATTGGGAAAATGTATTTATGATCTTGCTAATCAATTTTTCCTTGGCCAATGACTTGCTTAGATAGGTGGTCAAAATATAAATGAAGGTATTTGAGTAATTTCTTCCAGGAAATTCCAAATGTCCCCTTTAGCAAATCTAATCATAAAGGCTAATGGTGGGCGGGCTTAAAAGCGCTCTCTAATCATAATTTCCAATATCCATTTCTGTCACACTTGATGGCAATAAGATTAGGTAGGTGAAATCAATAAAATCATAGTACACCCAGATCCTAAACACAATAATAATAATAATAAAAAGAACAACAGCTAGAGTTCCATGTTCTTTTAGACTATCTTATTCATGTGCATATGGCCCTAGGCTGCTGCTGGCTGAGTGTATCCAGCTAGCTTGGCCTTCTTTCAGTCATTTTATTTAAGCAGCATGGATTTTGCCTTGGGGGAAAAAGTGCTTTTCTTCCCTGAGGTGCAATTTAGCATCCATTACATTCCTTTCAGTCATTTCAGGTGGGAATAACCAAAGTCAGCTTCTAAGAATCAAAAGTTTCACTTCCCATGCCCTTTCCAGATAGCAGCTGAATAAACTACGTGGCCATATCTGACCTCTTCTGGCCATCCAAAGGAGAAGGAAAACCCAGCTCCCCCAGATTGCTAGACGTCAGAAATCAAACGTACCTCTCCACTCTCCATCCTTGGTTTGCTTCTGGAGAACCCCCTCTTTGCACCAAATGGTGGTAGGCTAGGTTGTCTTGAGAAGCAAAACCAGTGACACTCTCATATGTATAAGAAGGAATTTTATATATAAAGAATTAATTTTATTTCAAGAAGGCATCCCAACCCAGTCCAACCAAAGTCCATGATGGGACTTAGGCTAGCTGGAGCCCTCTGTAGATGCACATAGCTGCATCCCAGAAAGGTGAAACAGAAAGTAGGGAGATCACAGACCAGTGGGTACAGACTTACAAGGATCTCAGGTTCTGTGGGAACAGGGTAAGGCACCAAAGGCCCATATGGGGCTGCCCTTGCAGGCAGACACAGAATCCTAGCAAACAGGAAGGGTGAAGGGTAAGAGAAAAGTGTCCCTTTATAAAAAGGCCACACCTCCAAAGAGGCATCATCAGATTGTGATCTGCTTAATAGACTGGATTCGTCCCCTATTTTCACACAGGTTCAAATTGATATAAAACCTAACCATCACCATGAGTAGTTGGGGCTTCCTTTGCCTGGTAACCACCACCTATATTGTTTCTTTAGAAAGATGTATTCCAAGTATCTTTAGTCATTCATTTGTTCACTCATTCATTCTGTCCATCAGCTAGCCATTGCCTACTGCATATCAGGAACTAACCAGGGAAGCTAAGACTCTCCTTCTGGTCTGGGCAGCAATAGATGGCTGCTTGATCTGGAGGCAGGTCAGAGTGACACAGAGCTCCCTATTCTGTGGCCATACCTTGGAGGACCAGGCGCCAGCCCAGCCATTTTAAAATTGTGTTCCTCAGGGAGCAAAGGGGAAAATGCAGGAAGGAGTTCTCATTCACATGTTACTGGATATTTTCAGGTCATTCAGAAATCAAGTCCTTCCAAGTCAAAGAGCTTTGGGTCTTCTTGCTTCAGTTGGCTCCACCTGTGAGCTTCTGGAGGGCAGGGATGTGCTACATCTATTTGGTATCTTCAGATGCCTTTCCTAGAGCCAGGATTAAGCAGGAGAACAATCAATGCATTGTAACAAACCTCTGTACCCTTGAAACCTTTTCTTTTTGTTTGGTTTTAAGTGTGAGCAGAATCCACCAACTCTTGGCTCTACAATCTCAGAGATGTGATCTGCAAGAAACTAAAAGGCACACGTGATTTGTGTGTTTTCTTACCAGGAATAGTTCAGTAGTACAAATGGTTAATATGCTTGACTATTAACTGAAAGGGTGGCATTTGAGTGCACTCAGAGGGATCTTTAAAGAAACACCTGGCGATCATATCTGAAAGATCAGCCTTTGAAAGATCAGCCTTTGAAAGATCTATTGGAACACAGTTTTACTCTGACATACATGGGGTTGATATGAGTCAAAGACTTGATTACTCAAAAACAACTGGTTTGTGTTTTATCTTTTTAATCAGAATATCAGAGCACTCATTCTGAAGGTCACAACTGTCTTTCTGTTCTTAAAGAAATGTCAGATGGCTCGATATTTCAGACGAGATGCCTACTTGCCTGTTCTGTTTACAGTCAAGGAATTCCATTGACAGTAAGAAGATGACTTATTACCAGCTGTTTTCACCTACTATTCTACAATATCTGTCTTGCCCATGCATTTGTTTCTCTGTTTTGAAAGAACTCATAAAGTTATTAAAACCTAGCAATTCTAAAGTGACCTTTTTGAGTAATCTTATAAAACTAATTTGTTTTGGCCAAGAGGTGTAAGGCTATAAGCATTTTAAGTCAGATTTGCTTTTTTGTAATTATTTTGTCAAAGGAACTTCTTTCATTCTCAGATACCTCTATCTTTGTCAAAATATACTGACAAAACAACTTGGACTAAGGGTTCAAAGGTGAGCTTCCAAGGACAGAGATAGAAGAAACAGGAATATCATACTTACTCACATCTCTTTGTTAAGACAAAAGACCTTAATTGTGTTTATAATGAAAAAAAAAGAGACATTCTTTCCTTCATGTGCAGTTACCACACATCTGTCGGTGGAGGTTTGCATGTTGCTATCATGTTGAATAGGTGTCAGTGGAGCATACAGAGTACAAAGAAAGTTCTGGTGATCTACTTCCCAAAATCAGTCAAGGAAAGTCCTGTGGATCACAACAGTCTGATCTACAACTAAAAATGGGGATGCTGAAGGACCAGGCAGCATTTCTTTTTATTGTGCCTGGGGTTGCCATGAGTTGAGGCCCACCTTCAGACTCTGAGCAATCGGTCTGCATTCATTCACAGGTTCTGCCTGACAGTTCTGCAAGGAATCCAATGTTTTCCTACCATTATTACAGAGGAAAGAAGTAGAGATTCACAGAAGTTCAAGGTCATTTCCAGAAACATTCTGAGATGGGGATTTACATGCAGGGGCTTGTTAGGAAAGTGCTCCCTGATGAACCTGGTAAGAGAGTGGGGGAAGTGGGAAAGGAAGGAAGACAAGCAGG